AAATTATATTAAAAAATAATATAAATTTTTTTCTTAAATTATTTTCCGGTCATCATCATCTTCCTCACCGCGACCTGATCCTACTAGATTTTCGGTCAAATCTTTATTGCCGATCCTCAACGGTTGTGATGTACTATGCCAAAATCAGCAAGTTTTCTGGATCAATTCTTGCAAAACGACGTCGCTGCGGCCAGGCATGGCTTCACGGGAGTTAGAATCTCGCCGGTAAATTCTATCTCTGGCGGCAATCCTCCCTTCTGGTTCCAGTGCTAGTTCGGGCTCGCCCTCACCAGAGGACTCATACAGAACTCCAATATGGACATGTTTCTGCCCTGCTCACAAGCCGCCTTCCCTCGTCGACAAGCCACTGGTGTCCTCCGCCACCGCCATCGAGGCGATGCCTCCTGCGAGCTCCCATACGTCGCTCGATCATTGCCCTCGTCCTCGGTATTCTCACTCCTAACATGCGACATTCCCTGATCAACCACCCTACAAGATCTTTGTTCGCCGACAGCTAGTTCCTCCATGTCCATGTAGAACATTCTCGATTGTTGCTTTTTTCAGCATTCAGAGAAGATCGTTGAGAACCAAGAGGAGGACGGAGATGACAATGGCTCCTCGTAAGAATCCCGATGAGGATCAACCCTAGGATCCAAATTCAATTTGTCAGATCTGGACCTGAAAAGGTTTGAGATTAACGAGAACCTCCCTTTCTTCTTGTTGAAAGATGTAGAGGCTGCAAAATCGGTGGTGGTGGTATATGTAGGACCCACCTGAAGAGTGCTATGGAAGCGGAGGAGGTGGTGGTGGGGCCAAGAGACATCTCAACATCCATCTCAGCAAAAAAAAAAAGCCACATCAAACCTGAAGGAGGGACAGATGAACGGATGAACGGACGGTTAAAAGTTAACGAAATGATTATGTCAACCTTAACAGAGGGGTTGATTTGCCACTGCATGTGAGTTGAAGGGTTGATTTATGCATGAAGTGGGTTGAGGGGGTGATTTGCCACCAGTCAATGAGTCAAGGGAGTGATCTGCATGTTTTGCCAATCCCAAATGCATCGCTTAAAAAAAAAACCATTACTTAAAAGTACACCTAAAAAGTTTTTTTTTGGTGAGACTTATAAAAAATTAAGAAAAAACGAAGGTTATTTCAGTAAATTTTCATTGAAGAATTAAAAAGAAAAATAAAAAAAATTATTTTTAAATAAAAGTGAGTTTGCTTATAGTATGATTTAGTTTTAGTTTGGAATTTGGATGCTCACATAGTATTCAAGTTCACTGCCTTTCTAACAGGATAAACTTGAAAAGATGATAAAGTATTATCTGCATTTAAAATATGATATTTGATTGTATTTTTAGAAAATCACTTGTGAAAATAAAGGAGTTAAGGATCTTTCACGGTATAAGGCTAACAATAGTGATGAAAATAAAGCGGGTTTGGTATTGGCACTGTTTGACGATGATCCTGTCCTGGGCAATGCTCCAACCCCTCAAAGAAGTAGAAATGGGGTGTGGATTTGTATGAAGGAGAGTGCAGTGATGTTGAGAAAAGGCTAAATTCAGGGTTTCTATTGAATTTGTTGGCGATCAACTGCAGTTTTTATTTAGGAGAGTGGCAGGGGCGTGGGTGTACCGCATATAGGTCCGGTGTTTCTGTTCCGTGCTTCATCCTTACTTGCAAATGTGGTTCTAGCTAGTAAGTCCCTTCTTATAACTCAGAAGAAATTGATTACGCTCATTAATGCAACCAATAAAACATATCTAAAACATAAACAAACTTAACTAGTTAACTAGCTTAGTCTGTGAAATGGGGACGAGAGTCATACTTAAGAGATAGAAGAAAAAATTAGGAAGTTTGTTGAGGTGTATGTATGAGATTTTGGATGTTTGATTCATTCAGTTTACCAGAATTGTCAAAACTTACAGGTTTCAATCTCTAATCAAATAATTCACAATTATATCTCCGAAAATTTGTTCGGGTAGAATTATAGAACAGAAGTTATATGGAATGCTTTGAAGGCCTGATTTAAATATCCTTTTCTTGGGTCATAGTAAATTAAGTCAAGGATCTTATCCAATATCTATATTTTTGATCTTATTGTTTCTGTTGCAGGACGTGGCAAAGGCTTCGTAATAAAAGTTGCAGCAGGTAATGTAGTCATTACGCCAATCAAATCAATAATAACCTGGTATTTTGAGCAACTGCTTTTCTTCTTTGATTTCTTTTTCTAAATCAAATTTGAAGTGGTTTCTTATGTAACGAGGTAATGCGCTGGTGGCTGCAAGGAGTGTTATTTGGTGTAGAGAATATGCTTTCTTTCACAAAATTTGTTCCAAGCATTCACCTGAGCTTTTAGGAAGAAACTGAACTAATGAAAAAGAGTTTCTTTTGTGGGGTTAAATGAATTCAAATTTTATCCAAATTAAACCAACAAAGTTTTTACATGGTTGAGCATCCCTGTCAAGCGTCAAGTAAATAATCTATACTTCTCCATAGGGAAATTCTAAGAAAGCAACACACCGTCCTCATTCACTTGCTTCTGTGTATCTTATGGGCCTTTATTTTGATTGCAGGCACTTCAGCTGTTGGAATTGGAGGATTGATCATTCTAGCATTCTACTTCAGAAAGACATTCTCAACAGGGAACGGAATATTTTCTGGGTTAATGAAGAAAGATGATTGTGAGAATATTGAAGCTTTCCTTAGAGACAATATGCATTTGGCTCTGAAAAGGTATAGTTTTAAAGATGTTACTAAAATGACAAACAACTTCAGAGATAAATTAGGTGAAGGAGGCTTTGGATATGTTTACAAAGGTAAGCTATCAGATGGTAGTCAGGTTGCAGTGAAGGTCCTGAAAAAATCAAAGGACAATGGGGAAGCATTTACCAATGAGGTAGCAAGCATTAGCCGGACTTCCCATGTTAACATAGTGACCCTTTTGGGTTTCTGCTTCAAGGGTCATATACGAGTTCTGATCTACGAGTTTGTGCCAAATGGATCATTGGAGAAGTTGATTCATGAAGAAAGTGCTTTGAATGGTGATCATCATTTGAAGTGGGAAACGCTGCATCAGATTGCAATTGGCATAGCTAGAGGACTAGAGTACTTGCATTGCAGATGCAACACACGCATTTTGCATTTTGACATTAAGCCTCATAATATTCTTTTAGATAATGACTTTTGCCCCAAAATATCTGATTTTGGCCTTGCCAAATTGTGCCCCAAAAGAGAGAGTATTGTTTCAATGACAGGTGTACGGGGAACTATTGGATATATTGCTCCAGAAGTATTTTGTAGAAATATAGGAAGGGTGTCCCATAAGTCTGATGTCTATAGTTATGGCATGATGATACTAGATATGGTTGGTGCGCGAAAAAATATCAATGCTGAATCCGACCATAGCAGTGAATATTTTCCACAGTGGATATACAGACGTCTTGAATTGGATGAAGAACTTGGATTTTGGAGCAGCATGAACGAGAATGATGAGGAGAGAGCAAGGAAGATGATAATAGTAGGTTTGTGGTGCATACAGACTCACCCCTCAAACAGGCCGCCAATGTATAGGGTGGTTGAGATGTTGAAAGGGAACCTCAATTCTTTAGAAATTCCACCCGAGTCTTTCTTGTCATCTCCTCCGAGACCACCTGCCGATGCCAATATTGATTTCGATTCCTCAAGTTCACTGATTTTGTAAGGAGTCATCCTTTGTAAAACCGTACCAAATGTAACCAATTTTATTTGGAACATTAAATGTTAAATTATATAGTAAGAAATAGTTCTACTCTTCCTAAATCACTCTACTCAAATGAAACTAATTGATTTACCCTTTAGAAGTTAACAGTTTTTTCTTATATATAGACATAATAACGCACTCTTTTGGAGCCCTTCTCTTTTGTGATTGCTACTACTTCTGTTTTGAAACTGTTGCCCAATCCGTTTGTGCATTGACTTAAAATTACCTTCTTCTTTTTGTGCATTGGGGTCGGTTGCATAATATGTTAGTTAATTTTTTTTTCTCCTTTTTTGTTTCACCGAGCATTGCAAATTTAAAATTTCATACTTTGATCTTAAATCAATTTTTTAATTAATTAGTAAATATCGACTAGTTAGAGCTCAAAGTCCTATAGACCAAACAAATTGAAAAGTACAGGTAAATAGCTGATCAAGTTTTATTGTCTGTGATATATTGTACTATAATTATAGATTTTTTTTGTTTTTTATTGTATTAAAAATATATAAATTATTACATAAAATTAGTAAAAGTATATTAAAAAAAATTTCTAAACCTTTTGAGTTTGAAAGTATAGGCAAAGCAAGTATGTATGCCTACAGTTAGTTTTGACCATGAAGATTACAATTTAACATAATCAAGAAGTGCATTATTAGGGCCCCAGAATAGATCACTTAGGCCAAAGAAGCTATAATATCATTGAAAAGAATCGTTTTTGCCCCAAAATCAAAATATCAGGTAGAGAGCACCCCAGGATGGCATCACTCTTCAAGTTATGGGTTGAATAAATGCTCATAACATGTGGAAGAAAATGGCAGCTAATTCCTTATGGAGTTAACTGAGTCAATCACTACCAAAAACAAGAACAGAATTGGGATGCAATCCACAGAAACAAAATAAAATAAAAATAAATACTAGAAGCTTCAATCCTTGAAGACAGACGTTGCGCAACACATAATATAGAGAGTCACTTTTTGACCCTTAAGTTGGCTCCATAGGTTATTTCCTTTTGAATTGAGTTAAGGTGTATTAGTTCAAATAAAACCGTTCTTGATGACTTCAATGAAGAATTTGTATGACAAATCGAGACTACGTACTATTAACATATGTTAAGAGTATATTTGATGAAATTTGTAAAAGTTTTTATTTTTTGTATTGTTTATAAGTGATAAATTTAAATTTTTATTAAAAAAAATTTAAAAATTACTTTTTAAAAAAATTAA